GCCAAGAGCGAGTCTAAAGTTGAGGAGACCTCAAGCGACAAGACCTCTGAGGCCACTTCTGAGTCATCAGCTGGTGAAACAACCGCAACCTCGATCAAGACCACAGTCAGCAAGCCGAAAGAAACTAACGACACATCAGGCAGTGCAGCTAAAGCGACGGCCGTTCAGACTAGCGATGACTCTGTTGTCACGGTTACTGGAACTGCCGATACCGCTACTGCAACTCCGTCTCCGACCGACGGTTCCAACATCGCCAATTCCGCAGGACCCAACTTCTATGTTGCTGTTGGCGTTGCCGCAGCGGTTTGGCAATTACTGTAAAAGCGTGCACAACTTGACACAATTCTCTAGCATATTTTCCGGGTCGTACATAGATTAATAGAAGCTCTTGCGTTGATCGCAATCATTTTCCCGAAGCAATTAATCTAGAGCCGCGTTCATGAAACATCCCGTGTTTGGCATTGAAGAGGATTCACGATCATTGGTCAATTCTTCAAATAAATCATCCAATCTCGTTTCGCAAGATACCATCAAATTGGAAGGATTCACAGCTCAAGAAACAATTGGTAGAGCCTGGACATTTGGTTTAAATTACCTGTTTGACACCAATGTTTTGAAACACATTACGGGGCGGATTTCATGCAGGGCGATCACCCGTTTCTACGGCTGATGGTGTTTCAGCTTGTGATTCCCCAAATTGAACACGTGAGAATATTTTGAGGCCATGGAATTGTAATTGTAACGTTCCCTCAAATACATGTGAATCTCTATTTGATTGGCGGTTCAGTTGTCAAGATTTAACACAGCAGATCAGACATGCATAAAGTTATCAGGCCATCCTTTCCATAGTTCACTGTATTCATCACAACACTTTGGACCGTACACGCAGACAAATGCTGTCGGTCGGGTCATAAGTTTAACCTCAAAGCTGCTCCCTACAGGCAAATTCCAGAGCAATCATTCCCGCCCTTCTTAGGATTACAATCATCCGACGGATCATCGTAACAGTACAGACCCTTGGGACATTTCTTCCCGATAATTCCCCCGCATGTTTCTGGTTTCTTGGGTGCACAGATGCCAGGCTTGTCACAAGCCATGCCGCAGTCACCAGGAGTCCGCGGGTCATCAACACAGTGGGTTCCCTTCTTGCAGGGCGGAGGAGGCGTGGCGCGGAAGCCTCCACAGGTTTGATATTGGTTCTTGAAGTAACACATGCCTGAGCATTTGTTGAGGTCTTTGCAGTTGTCAAGAATTGGCTTGCAGGTGGTGTCTTCAGGGCAGGGTGCGATCTTGCGACCGCATCCTTGGCCCGAGGACTGAGAGGCGGCTGCAAGGCCGATTGAAGCGACAATGAGGAGATTCTGAAACAACATTTTGAAGTGATGAGAAGAGTGGAATTGATGATCAATCAATGTTCTTGCGGGGAAGCCGGCAGTTATAAGTTTCTCAATAAGCTTAATCAATTCAAATCAGCCTAGGGTGCGTTTACATCCGCTTCACTTAACCGTGATTACAGTACCACGAGGAAACGAGCGCCACCTCGTATAATTACTTCAATAGTACAAGCCATGACGCAGTGCCATCATCACTGCACTTAAGAAAGCCTCAGCTGGAAAGGCATGCCCAGTGGTGATCCATGCCAGAGACATGATTTCCAATTTTAGACACGCGGTTTCAGGGCAAGACGCCTCTTTTTGGGCCGCTTTGCGCTATGATCTGCAAGGGCCATTCCAGACCAGCCTGTTCTTACATTGAGCTTCACTTCTTATGCAGACGACGATGCAAATACGTAATAGATTCTCCGAGTTGAGAAATTGGTTGAATGAAGACAAAGGATCGGTGTCAGCTGATGGCTTGCCAGGAAGATACCATCTTGACACATGAAGTCAGCTTATGGGCTTGCGCAAAAAGACAATAAGGCAGTGATAAATGCAACCTATTGGTCCAAACTTTCTTTTAATGCCGCTGTAAGATTTCGGATAATCGGACGACGGAAGCGACGGGATATTCCGATGCTACCTAGGATTCTTGGTGACTTGAGTGAAACACCATATGCCGAGAAACTGTGCAAAAATTGCACAAGGAGCCACAATCACACCTCAATTCCGCTCTAGTTATCTCTTCCATAAATATCAATCTTTTACTTTATGTCCCTTCTGCTACCATAGGCCTGCTAATGAGCTTTGCAGTGTTCTGACTTCATTGGTAAGATCTCAAGGTCTCTTTGAAGGCCCATTATAAGATAAATTAAATAGGCTAATTTCTACTCTGTACAAGAGACAAGAAGCTGGTGCCTCATCATTGCGATAATCATCTGTGTTGGATCCTCCTCGTGATTTTTGCCTAAAGTATATAGGAGAAACAAGGTTCTGCCAATCCCCCTCGCTACATATTCTTGAGGTACCTTGAGGTAAGCTTTGCCAGGTTTACCGAAGCATATAACCCCAGCCAGTAGGGACGGCTTGAGCGCCACTGGTATCCTGTTCACGAAGAACTCTCTTTTATGCCAACCGATGCCTCTTGGCTCCGAAAGATTCGTGACGTGGACATTGGCCATTCTAATTGGCTCTCTAAACTCGCTCACACCGAGCACTTCGGATATGATGGATGCCTGTTGACGGGTTGCCTCCTCTCTATTATGTATCTTGGAGGTCTTGTCGTCGGGGGTTTTTCTTGTGCGCTTTCAGTAGACAAGTTTGGCTGGGAGTTGAAGTGAATGCAAACTTCCTTGCCCATGTCACTCAGCTGCAGATTAGGGGCATAGGTAGTGCAATCGAGTTCACATAATTCCAAGGTCGAAGAGCTTTCTTCTGCTAAATTTCGATAATTTACCCTCAGGATTTCCTTAAAAAGATCGCCCGGCACGTCGAAGCGGGAGGGGATCGGTATGCAGCACCAGCAACAGTGTTCGAGTCAGTGGTAATTACTGGACTTTGATGTTGAACCAATCCCTGGTGTTTCGGTCCCTCTTGAGTTTCCAAGCCGTCTCGCTCGCACGACTTCCGAGCGATAACGCCAGATCTAGCCCTCTTTTGCGTCAGCAATTTGACGAAGGAGGCATTTCTGCGCCGCGATTCGTTCTCCTTTTCTCGTGAGCATTGCGGCATCGCACGAGACTTTGATGATGAGTCCGTTGAAGCTCGGTGCGCCGTTGGGTTTCGAAGGCCTTCGTGTGACTTGACGAACAGATCTTCGAGTTTGAGAGCCTGGGATCCTGGTAGAGATGCGTATCTGGCTTGCTGTCGCATTCGTAGTGGTGTTCACAGACTCGGGCGTCTTGATGAGCGGTGTTTTCGTCCGTGATGATGTAGATAACGCGCTTTCTACAGGCTCCTATATTCTCGTGTGGTCAAGTATTCTGAGGAAAAGTTTGATTTGACCATCATCGAGATTCTAGAGTGACAGCCCTAAGGCTCCTTCCCAGGCACTCTTCGCGTCTTCGTTGTCCACACCATGCCATCCACCTGTAGCCAATATCTCTGTTCTCCTAGAGTATCTACGAGGTAAACCTCAAAATAAAGATATAGATATGCTCAGTCTGTAGATCTCTAACCCTTCGTGTAAAGCCGTAATCATGTGAGAGCAATAGATTATGCCTCCTTTGTGGCAATTCTTAGTTCAGAGTGGCGACCGAGGCTCAGGTGCAATCAGCAGCATCTGGGACGTATTCGCAAAGATCTAACATGAACACTGCTCTCCGGCATTGACAGATTAGTGCTTTCACTCTATGCCATCTCTATAGCATGGTTTTGTAAGCTTGCCAACGGTGCATTCCATCCTGCGTCTGTTCACACAGCGATCGAAGGGGCGGCCACCTTACTGACATCTATGAGAAAGTGCAATGGCTTTATAAGGTCTGTTTTCTGAGACCCTAATGTCTGCCAGCGGTTCACCATGCGTGCTGTGGCCTGATGGTCACAGTGAAACATTGTGTATTTTTTTATGGTTGATGAAACTCTGTTACTTGTTTCTTGGTTCGAAACCTCCAGATTGTGCGAGGATGTAAATGAATAATTCTGACAGAAGAGTTATAGACCAAATCGCGTCTGTACATATTATCTGCTTCGCTTTACCATGCTAGCCGTGGCCGAATGGTCACGGCGAACATTGTTTTTTTAGTTTTTCTTTTTTTTCACCTGTATATGAGACACCTACTCCCTAGATCCTAGGTTCGAAAACCACCCACGTTCACAAGTTTTGTAGTGGCTCATGTCTTATAGTTCGGGTTACCGTGTAAGCCAGTAACTGCTTCGCTTTACCATGCCACGCTGTGGCCTGGCGGTCACAGCGCATCGTGATTTTTTTTCATTTCCTTTTACTTTTATCTCTTTAACCTATAGTCGCTCCATTCAATTCCTGCTCAAGGCTGGTTTTTTATTTCCTCTCACATTACAAGCTACAGATTACATTTATTCTTATTGCTTTCAGGCGCCATTATGAGTTTGCCTGCTGCTTACTTCAGATAATGCACTATTTAACCAAGAATTTACGAGAATCTTTGTGCCGTACTGCAGAGTCTTAGCGACTCTATCTTTTGTTACAAATCCCTGTTTCTATTGATATGCCCGATTTTCATCCAGGAGAGAGATGAGGTCGGAGACATACCCACTTAGTGGTAACTAGTCGTCTTCCGTCCGCGCTTGGCGATCTTCCCCACGATTCGAGTCACGTGAACCCCGAAGATATCCTGCGCACCATTTTTCTTCAACCACGTCTAAACTTACTCCTCATTTATTTTCTCATCTTTCCATCTTACAAACTCCGCTTAGCTTTCATTGCACGTAATGCACACCACTTTGCTGCTGGTCTCGTATGCCACTTGTGGCTCATTCAACGCGCCCCTCTCGTCCCTTCCCCTGTCGGCGCTCCTTCTCCCAGCTCTCAACGGAGGAAGGAGCAGCTACCGCAACAACACCGAGCATACTCCACCACCTTCCCCACGACATGAATGTCCATACCTTTGTAACCCAAAAATACGGACACTGTTTCCAACAATTACCGGAGCGGTGGCTGGGTGGTTAAAGCATGGTAAAGCGAAGCAGCTAAGCCAAAGTCCGCCGGTTCGACTCCGGTCCGCTCTGTCTGGGTGGGAGATGCAGACACGGTAATTGTCCCCTGGGTCCACTCGGGGGTAAATCCTGTTCGCTCAGCGTTCAGGGGGGATTAGTAGGCATGCCCAGTGCCTTGCGAACCTTTTTTTGCTGTGAATGGCTTCAGAAAGGGGCGCAAGCGAAAGCAAAGGCATCCCCTTTTTTGCTCTTAAGTAATTGACAGAACTGACGGTAAATTGCTTGAGACACGGTCAATCGGATTTTGGAACCCCAGAGTGCCAGATTGCGTTGTCGTGGTGCTGTTCTTTGACTCGGTCCTCGATACTCCTTAATATGGGTGAGGCGGTTGATCCGACAAACCAGACGCCAAAGACAACAATGCCACGCCAGTGCTTCGAAAATCCGAAAATTCGTTTCAAAAGGTTCTTGGGGAGTCGATCTCAATCATAGAAGCGTCAAATGAGAGATCAACCCATCGTAGATCGAGTTATGGCTGCCACAAGTTTCACCCTGGAACTACGGCCTACCAGCTTGAAACTCAGCATGCTAACAGCTAATGGCTCTTATAGCGCCATTTTGGACTACAAGGGATACCCATATGCTCAAATTGTCAGAATCAGTCCTGAAGTCAGTTGTTACTGAAGCAGCGTGCAATACCTCTCCCTTGTCGATGTGCTTGATACAATCGGTTCCTGTAGCCCATGAAGCTCCTGCATTCTCAGTTGTACGACTCATTAATGGAGAATCTGTGCACACTAGTATTAACCTATCATCAACACAGTCGCAATTGCAGCCTGGCAGGTTGAACGGGACAGCAGTTCGTCGCAACCAATGTTCACTCGACAATGTCATAAGACACGAAAACAAGCTCACAGGTATCGTCCTCAATCGAGAACAAGGTAGACTTATTCCCAGCGCCGCTTCTCTCCTTTTATTATAAATAATATTGTCTACTGAAAGTTTCCATTTTGGAGCAATACCGGGGGTTAAGCAGATAGTACACAATCATGCTCTGCCAGTTGAGGCTGCAAGACAATAAATTCTATCTACATACAGCATAAATATTAAATGATTAGTTAATGCAACTGAACAATACGAGACACTTGATCTCTAAGAAATAGTTAGTTATATAGTAGACTATACTAAAACGACTTATATCAGACTATCGAATGGCCGCGTCTATGCTAAGCGCAACCCCGACCTCCCCATCACCATCCCCACCCTCAACCGCGCCAAAGCCAATCCCTCGTAAACAAATACGTCCAGGCCTATCAAAACGAATGCGATTCCGACCATCCGGGTCAATAGTTCCATTTCTGCACATCAATGACGTCTGTGGTAGCAGTCAGCACTAGCCAGTCCATTCATCTCCCGCCCACGGAACACACGGCTCCAATTAACTTTCGGTAGTCAGCACGATGCAGCCTCATTGAGGGGGACATATAACAACTCACCGCGCCCTCTTCTTCTCAGACCAATTTGTTCATGCTCAATTTCTCGAGATGGCGCTTTTGACACCTTTTGTCCTTTTTGGACTGTTGCAGTTTGTTGAGGCTGCTGCGACGAAATCTTCTGCCCCGAAGATAAGCTGGGGAGAATGTCCGACTGGAATTCCACCGGGTGTTGACTGTGGAAAGATCAATGTCCCTCTGGCATACCAAAGTGGGAACTCTACGTCTGCCAAGGGAGATGATACGGTTGAGCTGGTCTTCACCCGCTTGAACCATACCGGCAAAGGCGAGAAACATGGTGTTCTGTTCTTCAACACCGGTGGACCAGGTGCCTCCGGAGCCATCACCGTCGCTGGATCACCATACGTCCCGGCGATCTCTTTCTCGGATGAGCTTCGTGATGCCTACGATATCATCGGTCTCGATCCGCGTGGTGTTGGTGTGAGCAGTCCTGTAAAATGCGATCCAAAGGCCTTCAACAAGAGGGTCAAGACTTTCGTTACAACTGATGAAGAATACGATGCGCTATTCAACTACAGTCGAAGCGTGGGTGAGAGCTGTGCCAATCTCACTGGTCCTCTTATCAAACATCTCGACTCCGTCCATGTTGCAAAGGACCATGAAGTCGTGCGCAAAGCTCTTGGCCTTGAAAAATTCAACTACCTCGGTCTCTCATACGGCACACTCCTCGGTGCCACATATGCTTCTCTATTCCCCAAATCCGTGGGCCGTATGGCTCTCGACGCAAACGTGGACCACTCCCAGTCCGAGATAGCAACCCTCCTCGCGGAAGCAACCGCCTACGAGACTGTCCTCGACCAATTCTTCAAATGGTGCGATAAGAACTCAACGTGCGCTCTTCACGGGAAGAATTCCAGCCGCGTCTGGGACGAAACTCTCGCCCGAGCTGATTCCAAGGCCATTCCTGCACCTGGCTGCAACAAGACATGTCGCTCTGACGTGACTGGTGAAGAAATTCGATACAATGCACAAGAGTTTCTTACCTTTGTTGATCTCGACTTTGGCTCTGGTTCCACGTGGGCTGCTCTCGGAGATGCTATTCTTCAAGCTAGCAAGGGCAATGCCACTGCTCTGTCAACTTCAACTCCCAGTGGAAAATTCGTCAATGATCCTAGCGGTTCTCCATATAGTTACCTTGCCATCGGATGTCAAGATTGGTTGCACAGGTCCAAGACTTCAGTAGACTTGCGCCAGAAGCTCATCAACGCTGTGACGTTTGCCCCAAGAACAAGGGGTGCCACGCAGACGTATTACTATGAGAGTACGTGCATTGGTTGGCCTGCACCATTGACGAATCCACAGGGGCCTTTGGCAGATGGTATCAAGGATGCACCTACTATTCTGATTGCGGCTTCGGTGTACGATCCTGAGACCAGTATTACCTGGGCCGAGGGGGTGAGAGAGCAGTTGACGAATAGAGTGAGCATTACGAGGAATGGAGCTGGACACACAAGTCACTATCTGGGAGGTGATACTAGTAAGGCTATGGATAGGTATTTGGCCACTGGAAAGTTGCCTAGGGATGGTACAGTCTACAGGACATGAGTCTCAGGCAATGTCTGAAGAATTTGGACGTGTTGGTCAGATGGTGTCAATGATGATTCTGAGGTAACTGGATGTATTTAATTGTGACATATCTCTTCAGCTTCATACTTCTACATATCTATCGTGATGCACAAACACTTGCCGCAACTACATGACGACTGAGATCGACGATGTCCCGCCCATGCTATTGTGGATTCAGACAAGACGCGAGTGCCTCTACTTGAGCCGGCTGCTATTAATAGCACCGAAGACTGCATGCCTCCACGACGTACGTATGTCGTTAGTCAAACTGCCCCCGGACAGACTGGGTTAAGCTGGGGTGCCCTGTCTGCATCAGATCGCCCATCTAGCTCCTTAGTTCAGCCCTACAGAGTACAGACTGGCGTCATCCATACATATGTGGCCGCTACTGTAAACTCTGGAAAGGCCGTTAGAGCGAATGCTTCACTTCATCGCCACGGTCGTGCCCTTCAACGGAGCAGCAAAGCACCGAGCCGAGGTTCGTAGCACAAAGAAAATCCTTCGCAATCTCTTCATTTCCAATCTCCGAGCGCATTTCAAAGCACGTATCACATCTTTGTAATGGAACCAGAAAATCTCAATCCGTGTAACAAAGGATCCACAGTCCGGCCTCGGTATCCCACCAACTCCGAGAAAAGCGGGTTTCAACTTTCCGCCGGCGCCGATGTGATTACGTGAGCCGCTGATGCGATCGCGTCGCACAACGAGCAAAGAGCTTCAGTTATAAGTCGAGAGGGTTGCCCCGAGCCATTCCCTATACAGTCCCACTCCTCAGATACCATCTTACACATCATAAATATGACAAAGTTCAAAATTACAGTCACTTCCGACACCGTCTGCCCTTGGTGCTATGTCGGTCGCAGACAGCTCCAGGCTGCGCAGCGCCTGTGGGAGCAGAAGTACCCCGACTCAAACGACACTTTCGACATCAGCTACAAGCCTTTCCAACTAGCACCTGATTGGGCCCGAGGTCCTGCATCGAGCATCTCCAAGGAAAAGTTTTACCTCGAGAAGTTCGGTAGAGACCGTGTGGTCAAGATGCACCAGCATTTGAAGGGTGTCGGAGAATCCCTGGGAATCGACTTCAAGTTCGGAGGACAGACAGGAAACTCGAGGGACTCGCACCGACTGGTCCAGCTTGCCAAGAAGCACGGCCAGGATGCCGAGAGCAAGGCGCTCGATGGGCTTTTCGCTGCGTACTTTGAGAAGAACGACGATATTACCAGCTACGACACCTTGAGAAACGTGGCTGTCGAGGCGGGAATCCCCGAGGATGAGTTCCAGAAGGCTATTGTCGAGAGCGACGAGGGTGGCCCAGAGGTTGACAAGCTTGCGGGCGAGGCACGATACAGTGGTGTCAGCGGTGTGCCTGACTTTGTTCTTCAGGACCGGTTCAGACTCCATGGCGCCAACGATCCGTCGACATTTGTCAGCGTTTGGGAGAAGATCAAGGCGGCCGAGCTGTAGTCGATTTGATCGTTGGGGGGAATCAGATCAATCGCTTAGGGTGGTCAGATTGAAACAAGACTTCTGTGCGCTTCTCGAGGACATCGTTCCAGAGGTGTTGACCTTGAAAGCCAGGGACATAGAATAGTAATCCGATTTCCTGACTCGTCCACCAACTTGCCCTGTCCATATTGCCTGAGCCTAACACTAGATATTCGTCGTCAACGAGAGTCATCTTGAAATGACTGACGAAGGGTTCATCTTCTTGGTCGCGTCTAGCATCGAGTTGCTTGTAGTAGAAGATCTCCAGTTTGCCGGGCGCAGGCGATTGCGCTTCAGGGTCCGATGATCGTGGCTGATTGACAAGAGCATTGTATCGCTGTATAAACTTGCGCAAACACCAGGACGTTGTTGTGCCAGCCGTGACTAGTTGCTCGATTAGCATCATACCCTTGCTGGTTCTGATTTGAACATCGACTCCCCGTGCGAGCGCATCCAATAGACTCTCCACAACAGGCCACGAGGTGACATTAGGAGTGAGGATGG